TATATATATATATATATATATATATATATATATATATATATATATATATATATATATATATATATATATATGTAAACGACAAGTTGAAATTCCCACTATTTACTTCAAAAACGCATTAATAATTCATGAAGCAATTATCCAATCTTGAGTAAGAAATTAGTCACGTGCATATATATATATATATGTAAACGACAAGTTGAAATTCCCACTATTTACTTCAAAAACGCATTAATAATTCATGAAGCAATTATCCAATCTTGAGTAAGAAATTAGTCACGTGCATAGTACATACGTCTTTATACCAGCTAAAGAACACTTTAACAAAAGACCATTGTTATGCAAACTATATAAAGATTTTTATATAAAGAATTTTATATAAAGATTTTTATATAAACATTTTTATATAAAGATTTGACTTATTATGCATACGTTTTTGAAGTCATTTAAAAAACTCGCGGGTCGTGTTTTTTTAGCCATTAGGTCTATAAAGCCACTCGCGCTGCGCGCACGTGGCTTTAAACCTAATAAAACACTCCTGCTCGTTTTTTAAATAGTATACTTACAACTTAAAACAACACGTAAATGTCCTACTAATAACAACGATACTATGACTAACACTAACTTCCAAATAACACTTCCTTCAACATCCGCCACACGACAATCCAAACATTCCAATGACGCCATCCCTAGCAGCGGAATTCACTCCTGATTCAAGATTAGAAGACAAACTTGAATTACTTCATATGAACTTTATATATATATATATATATATATATATATATATATATATATATATATATATATATATATATATATATATATATATATATATATATATATACATTTACTGAGCTATCGGTGTTTTAAATCGAATAAGCATATTTGACAATGTTAAATATTTGTATAAAATTGACTATCAAATATTATTTGGTTAAACTTGATAAAAGTTTTATTTTGGCCAAAAGAACGAATGAAAAACATAATTGTTGGATAAACATTTATTCATCAGAGAAAGTATGTCCTCTTGCACGTATACAATGTCTTAAATAAAACCATTAAATATCTTTTCTTAATCGAGGCATGTTCAAAAGGCGAATGCATAATTGAAGACCAACTTTATAACGACGAACTCCCAAAAGACGTCAAATATGTTTTCGAACGTTTTTACATGTTTCATGTTTATTTCACTTCCCAAGAAACACGAATGGCTAACCTACTAGGGCATTACCTGAAATTAAAGTTAAGTTGAAATGCTAAACTGATTGAAATTGTTAATTTTTGCCCAAAATGACAATTGTTTTCATATAAATTTGATCAGCCGTGTTTCCTGATTTTTTGCTCATTTTTAAAGCGTGCGCCAAATTCAAACATTTGAATCTCACGTAATATTAGGCCAACACGACATTTTTAGGGCTGTATATCAAAATTTACGTTAGCCTTTCCTCAATACAATAAAAGTTAGTTGAGTGTAACAGCTTTTATAGTTTTTACGTTGCATGAAATCAAACAGCGCAAGTTTTTTTTGGGACACCCGATATATATAACTATATATTGGCTGCTCGTCTCATTAGACATTACACATTAAACAATTATTCTAGTTTCTCGTGGATGTTTTTTTTTCAGATCCCACTCATTCCACTACTCCTGAAAATGGACATACTTCTGAGATCACAGGGAGGTCCACGATGAACTTTAGGCAGCGTTTACACTGTACCGTTTTCGTAGCGTTCTCGTATTGTTCTTAATCCTCAAGGGAACGCAAGACAATAGTCTAGTTCTCTCGAACAATACGAGAACGCTACGTAAACGGTACAGTGTAAACGCTGCCTTAGACTTCACTAATGCTTTAATTTCCCCAGGTGTAAAGAGCCGTGCGGAATTAGTACTCTCGCCACGGGCTTACGCCGGCTCGGGGATTAAATGTTATTATTGGCACAATAATGGAAGTTAACAGAGAATTAAGAGGCGCTAGCTAACGTCACTTGCTACGGTTATTTGAATATGTAGATTGTTCAATATATGAATATATTAAATAAAAACAACGTGGTTCTGGCTTCATTCGCATAGTGCTTTTTCCCGAAGTTAGTTTCAGTGTAATTCTCTGAAAATTTCAACATGAAATGCCCGAACAAGTTAACTAGCTACTCACTACATCAACGAGCATTCCTGTGGTTCAGTCAGTAAGTCAACAGTGTCTAATCCAGCTGTTATTTCCTCGGCAGTTCGGGGTTGTTGTCGCCTGCATCGCGTTCGCTAGTGTTGCCTGCCATGCATTCACACTATTTGGCTGTGGTGTCTTCCTCGTCAGCCTCGAGTCCCCCTTCCTTTCCTCAGAATGTTATGGCACCATCTACGAGTCCATTTACTCTACGTTTACCGGCTTCATCAGCTCAGCATGGTGGCCATCCGTCGGCATATGTCAATTCGCCGTATTTTTATTCGCTATGTGCATATCTTCGTCCGTCCCAGTGATCGATTCACATTAAGGTTTGCTATATTCACAGTCCGTTTGTGTTCGCAATGATTCGCTATTTGCATGTATTGTTCTTCGCAGGGATTCGCATTTACAGATAGATAAGTAGATGTTTTAATCATGCCAACATTGCAGCATATAGGCTAGGCGGAATTGCATTTATGTGTACATGCAAATGTTTAGATTAAGTTCGCATTGTTCAACAATTGCTTTGTTTATTAAGCTAATAATTCTTCTACTGTCCAAAAAAGATAGTTAGATTTTCTGAAATTCAAAAATTGGCTCGCTATATTCGCATGTTTTTGTTCTTCGCCGTTATCGCATTAATGTTATTTGCTTTACTTTGAATTGAGTTGCTCTTGCACTATTTTCAACACTGATTACAATGACTAAGATGTTGTACTATTTACAAGTTCTAAAAAATAAGGTAAAAAAATAAGACCTTTGACTTTGTATCAAGCATTAACCTGACAATTCTCTATACTTAGTCTTAGCTCTATATTGTTCTAGCATGCTTCGCGTCATGCAGGTCGTTTTTTAAAAGTTTCGTACAATTTTCACTTTTTGTACTTAATGTCCAGATCGTTCCAGAGTATAACTCCTCCATAATGGAAAGACTTTTGACCAGCAGAAGTTTTATACAGTGGTCTTTGCATTGAGTTTTGCTGTGCTGGCAGGCCCGCATCGTTTATGAATTTCAGAACGTTACGTGAATAACTCGCTCACGCCAGCCTGTAGCTAGTCCCGGGCTGTCGCGCTGACCGCTGCTTTGATATGTGTTATCAGTAAGTTTTATGCCCGCCCTGGGTGTGCTGTTCCGAGCGCTTCAAGTTGAGTTCTCGTAGCCTTGCCGAAATATGGTCGAATTTTCCAATATTTGTTATTATCTTGCACGGAACAATTGTCGTTTCTTCATTATGAGCAGACGAAGTGTTTACCCACGCCATTGAACAATCAAACATTTCTTTTTCATTACAATTGCTGAGACAATCAGATGACTGCGTTCTTCACAGTGATTCGCATTGATGTTATATTCGCATTCCGTCGGTGTTCGCCTTGAATCAATATCGCTATTCGCATGTTGTCGTTCTTCGCAGTTATTCGCATTTCCCCATGTTATACATCCATACATACTTACATACACGCATACATACACACATAGAACAAGTTATTTATGCACGCTGGCCTCAACAACTCAGAGCTGATTCCACGAGGGGCGTGATTTTAGAAGGACATCCTGCACAGATAAAAATTACTAGATTATTCAACATACAAAAACAAAGAAAGAAGAATTACTATTTACTGTATAGGCAACAGGACGAGCCAATTTTCAGTATTTGCCTGATAAATAGTTCTTTTTAAATTGAAAGAACAAAAAGATTCCGCTACTTTTACCTCATACGATAAATTATTCCATACTACCGCTTCGTTCAAAACACTCAAAGGTGACACACCTACCTATCTACAAAATCTTTTTTCAGTTCGTGGCTCAGAATATAATCTTAGGAACTTTGAAATGAAATTAAATCTACCCAAGCCACGAACTAATTATCTGAAGCGAAGCTTTCAGTATAGTGGAGCAGTGCTGTGGAATAGCCTTCCCGAAAATATAAGAATGCTCCAATCGTTTGCTCAGTTCCGGAAAGCTGTAAACAAGTATTATAATAGTTTAGATGAACTCCCACACGGCAATCTTGTAAACCAGTAGATCATATTCCTTTATTTATTTTTGCATGCTTAAACTTGTATATATTTATATACTGAAGATTCCACCGTGGATAAATAAATTTTTATTGTATTGTATTGTATTGTATTGTATTGAAGTCTTTTACCAAAATCAGTATTCGGTTTAAGAAGAGACAAATCGGTTTCTCTATTTCTAAGATCATAGGTATTATCCATTCACTATTCAATCGAAAGGATGTACTTAGATTTGGTACATCCATACATACTTCGCATGTCCTCGTTTTTCACAATGATTCGCATTACTATTATATTCCCAGTACGTGCAGTTTCACATTGATTCGTGATTCGCATATCCTTTTGTTCTTCGCAATGATTCGATTAATGTTATATTCGCATTAATTACGTCGTTGTCGCATTGCTTCGTTATTCGCATGTATTCGTCTTCGCAGTTATTCGCGTCTAATGTTATATTCGCATTACGTCGGTTTCGTATTGATTCGTTATTCGCAGTCCATCGTTTGATTCGCCGATTGAGTCGTTATTCGCATGCATTCTTCGCCTCCCGTCATTTTGATTCGTGAGTCGCATTCGCTATTCGCATTGATTTGTTATTTGCATTCGCTATTCGTATTTGTTTCGTTAGTTGAATGTGATTCGTTATTCGCATTCCGTCGTTATTCGCATTGATTCGTTATTCGCATTCGTTATTCGCATTGATTCGCATTCGTATTATATTCGCATTACGTCGGTTGCGCAATTCGTTATTCGCTTGTGTCTTCGTTCTTCGCAGTGAGTCGCATTAAATACTTACGAACCTTGTATAAATCCCGATAAATCTAACCTCGTTCATTTATAAACTTGTCTATATTGACTCCCCTGTGTCTAATATAAAGGAATCACTATCGCTAGCCGCATGTCGTCGTTCTTTGCCTTGATTCGTTTGATTTTTTTTGTTTTTTTTCGCCTGGCTTTCTTCGAGTGCTCATCTTCATGTTATATTCCCATTACGTCGGTTTCGCAGTAATCAGTTCGTTATTCGTATGTCTTCGACTTCGGAGTTATTCGCGTTTAATGTTATATTCGCATGCATTACGTCGGTTTCGTATTGAGTCGTTATTCGCAGTCCGTCGTTTGATTCGCCGTTATTCGCATTCGCATTTGTTTTCGCGTTGATTCGTTATTCCCATTCAGTATTCGCATTCAGTCGTTTGAGTCGTTATTCGCATGCATTCTTCGCATCTCGTCGTTTTGATTCGTGATTCGCATTCGCTATTCGCATTGATTTGTTATTCGCATGCGCATTCGTTACTCGTATTTGATTCGTTAGTCGTATTTGATTCGTTATTCGCATTCCGTCGTTATTCAGTCGCATTGATTCGTTATTCGCATTCGTTATTCGCATTGATTCGCATTCATATTATATTCGCATTACGTCGGTTGCGCAATTTGTTATTCGCTTGTGTCTTCGTTCTTCGCAGTGAGTCGCATTAAATACTTACGAACCGTGTATAAATCCCGATAAATCTAACCTAGATCATTTATAAACTTTTCCACTGACTCCCCTGTGTATAATATAACTGAATCACTATAGCTAGTCGCATGTCTTCGTTTCTTTGTTTATATACCACTAGTGTACAAGAAAATACGTAGAGACAAAGCAAAACTATTTACAAGAGTGCATGCTGAATACAGGAAACGTGACCCATACATTACAATTAGTAACAGAATCATAGATTAATATTTTCTTTGAAAGTCTGGATTGCTCGTGTTTTTTTTTGGTTTTTTTTAGGAATTCCGTTCTCGGGTTTGAGAGAGCTAAATCAGTCCAGATTTCTGTTAAGTTATAGTTCGCTTGCGTTAATTAAATTATTCATTGATTTGTTATTCGGTTGTCTTCGTTCTTCGCAATGATTCGCAGTGAGTCGCCTTATAGGTATGTCTACGTTGGTCGGTTTTCGCATTGGAATCGCTAGCTATTTGCATATCTGCGTTCTTCGCCGTCGTTCGAATTAATATTGTATTTGCCTTACGTCTATTTGTTACATTGAATCGCTAGTCGCTTGTCCGCGTTCTTTGCATTGATTCGCATTAAAGTTAGGTTCCTGTTCTTCCCAGTGATTCGCAGTAATGTTTAGAGTCGCATTCCCTCGTTTTTGACATCGGTATTCGCATATCTTCGTTAGTCTTCGCAGTGATTCGCATTAATGCTCTATTCTCTCTACGTCGGTTTCGCATTGATTCGTTATTCGCATGTCTTCCTTTCTCCCAGTGATTCGCATTGATGTGAGATTCGTATTCCGTTGTTTTTTCGTATTACATCGCCATTCGTATGTCTTCGTTTTTCGGCGGGACTCGCCTTACTGTTATTCTGATTAGCCTTACTTCGTTTTTCGCATTGATTCGTTATTCGCATTGATTCGTTATTCGCATGTCTTCGATTTTCGCCGGGATGTCGCTGCCGTTCGACGCTTTTGCGCATCTCGTCGTGGTTGATGTCACGAGCTTACCTGTCAAGTCCGTTGGAGGCTCGTTTTCACCGGCTAATTCAGATAGGGATGCTGACCTTGTCGAACGCTGTTGCTTCATTTATTTGGACCCCAACCTGTCAACGCACGAGTCCAGTTGCAGCTATTCAATATATTTGGCGGTACGCAGCATGACCCCCGCGGCCCTCTATTTGTGTGGGCAGATGGCAGTTCGTTTCCAGCCCTTCAAGTAAACAGCTACCTGTGCATTCTTCTCTCACGCAGGGGTATTCCCGGCAATTTTTATTCCTACAGCTTTTGCAGTGGTGCCGCAACGGTGGCCGCGGCAGCAGCCCTTCCAGTTCCTCTCATCCCCGCTCTTGGGAAAGCGATGCGTATATATCGCCATGATATTCGCATTTTACCCGATATTCTTTCTCGTGCGATGGCGGATTTATAAGGGATTGGAGGTTGTTATTGGGCAAGGTATCACCAATGGTTACCTTTCTCCAACCCTTATAACTGGTTGGAGGTAATTTTGGAGGAGGTACCATTGGTTGACTAAGGATTCTAGGAATCATTATCCTTGGTGATGTTTCCTGCTTAGTCAGGCGCATCTTAACTAGCTACCGATTCCATCTCTATCGGCGACAGCGGGCAAATATAATTTAATATGGTAATATCTAGCAACATTAATTGCTGGACGGAAAGCGATGTGACCTAACGGCCACATCAGATGATTAATATCGTATGTGATGTTAATTTATATAGATTTGTAAATGTTATTAATTTTATTGTATATACTATTTATCTTCCTGTAATATATTAACTTGCAATTTTTGCATTTGTTGTAACAATTTAATTTCTAATAGTTGTTAATTAAGTAGAACTGTACACCGCTATCGAGCTATTGGAAATAGCGCTATAGTATAGAAATGTATTATGTTGTTATTATTCATGATATCTGGTCTTGAGTCAAATACAAAAAAACAATTGAGAATAATAGAAAATGGATATTTTAGTATGTCTTTAAAATGAAATAAATGATAAATAAGAATTAAACGCAGATTGGTTTTGAACTAATTTTGCTATATGCTGGTGGCTATACTGCATGTCTAACAATAAAAGTGATGAAAGCATTTCGCAAACCTTTCAGTTGTTGGAGCTGCAGAATTCAAAGGATATTTCAAAATTAGAACATCCTTAGTTCCTTTGATCGTAAATTGGGCTGTGTTCTCAGAATACCATTGGACCAATTCGTTTATCTTAGCGAATTTTTGTCCAGCACAAAGTTCGTAATAGTCGCCAGTATTTTCGATTATCAGGTGAAAGATTTCTTCACCGTGTCTATAAGAAAATAACACAAATACTCGGTAAAATTTGGGATCTCTTCCGCCCAAAAAACAATTTAGTATGGACTAATTATTCAATGTTCCCAAATTTCAGGCGTTATTATTAGGGAGTTTAAGCTTCACGTTGGCGGGAACTTGCAAACGGCAAGACCGACAGTTCTTGGCATAATTTTCGTTCGATTTCTGCGTGTCATAAGGCACAGGAATAGTTAAACATTCTATATAGTTATAAAACAACAAGCCCATTATACTTTTTATTGCTTTATAGCGTTCTGTTAAATCATGCGACCTGTCGCAGGGACAAAAAACAGTCATCGCGACAAGATTTTTACATATATCACACGATGAAATCTGTCCCGGCCGGAACTCCCAGCGACCAGTATCTGCAACTTGTCGGCTCGTGTGACCGAACCTTAACAAGTTTTATTTGCATTGATATACATCTCCAAATTCATTATTCGTGTTGTTAAATTCAAAGATCAAGAGCCGTCAAAGCAGTTAAGGATGTCAACATAATTAGTCAAAATTAATTATAAATTGCAACAGTTCAAGCCTTCCACTTTTTGGAAAAAGTAATTCGAGTCAGTAATTTAGTGCAGTCCGCATGCAGAGAACACTCTCACGCCGAGAAGCGTTGGGAACGAGGATCTTTTTGGTTCTGTCACAATATACAGTGTAAGCTGGCATAAACAATACATCCAATTATAACTAACAAAACTTTAAAATACTTCCCTGTTATTTTTATATATTTAACCGATTTAATGTCAGAGTTGTGCTTGTAGAGCGACAGAGATCAACTCACCTTACGGAGAACGTAAACTCGCCAGGACGACTCACACTATGCCGCAGCAGAAAGCTTCCATCAAAACCTCTGTCTAAAAGCAAGGCTTCGGCGTCATGGCCGGTTATTCCAGAATGAAACCAACTAGATCAACAATAAATGCCAATTTATTGGACATTAGTACATACAGGAAGTCGTAATTTTGATACAAAATACAAAGAATAATACCAACCTCATAAAGAACGTATAGTAGGAACTATATCGAAGAATTATGACGTTTTTTCATGACTAGACAGAGAAGTACATACACATATACATTGTCACGACACTTTCAAAGCATTATACATAATAATCAGTTCCAGCTAGCGGTCTTTTGACAATGTAATACCCTGCTGCTTAATTGGGTTGATCTATTTGGAGTGGGTAGAGCGAAGCAGGTAACGGTAAAAGGTGCACGTACAAGAAGCGGGTAATTAAAAAAGTTGCGGGTAATTTTTCCGCAAGCGATTCGCCGTTGGAATATATAAAATAATGATACAACAAACCTGAATTAATAAACAATAATTTAAAGAGCCCGCAGACAGTCAAACATTGCACTTAACTTGTCCAATCAGACAACTTGGTTTCTTAGCCCTTTCCATTATGCTTCGAAATAATTCTTCAATCAAGAATACTACTATCTCTCGCCAAGGTTTCAAAATAGATTTCGGTGGCCAACATTCATCTATATTATATTATATTATATTATATTATATTATATCATATATCATATTATATCATATCATATCATATCATATATCACATATCATATCATATATATCATATCATATCATATCATATCATATCATATCATATCATATCATATCATATTATATTATATTATATTATATTATATTATATTATATTATAACGTTAAGAATTCAAGCGCTTTCATTGGTCGAGAGCCATGATCTGTTAGAGGACAGACGCACGGAATTACGTCACACACAACTTTATCCAATAGCATTCCCTTTTGACTTCCAATTTTGACTTTTTCAAATTTCCAAATGTTTGAGTGGACTGAAAAGTAAGCTATTTACTTGTATAATTCGGAGGTTTTCTTTTTATTATATAAAAGAAAAAGATAAGATTTTACCGTTGTCTATTCAGTTATAGATACACAGTATCAACATCGCAAGCAAGGGCCTCCACACCCGTGGCGGGACGACACAGTATGACATCATAATGTGAGCCTCGGCGGCTCATGAGCCACTTTTTTGTCCTTCCCACATTATAACGTCACACTGTGTATCTATTACTGAACAGACAAGGGCAAGATCTGATCTATTTGTTAAATAACAGAAATAAAAAATCTTGAATATTTTTCACTCAACGAGGATAAGCATGCACGAGAGTTGCAGTCTTACCACCTTCGTTCACTGTTCTTAATATGATGTTTGTGATGTTACTCTGAGAGTGTATACACACCGGGAGAGCTTGAAAAATATGTCCGGTCACGGTGGGAATCGAACCTACGACCTCTGGAATACTAGCCGAATGCTCTGCCAACTGAGCTACGCGGTCAGGACGGCAGAACATTGGGCTAGCTAGTATTCCAAAGTATTCCAAAGTTGGAAGAGCATTGGGCTAGTATTCCAAAGGTCATAGGTTCGATTTCCACCGTGGCCGGGCATATTTTTCAAGCTCGCCCGGTGTGCATACACACTCAGAGTAACATCACAAACATCATATTCACCTGAGTACACAACACCAGCGCAGAAAAAAATCATATTAATAGATTACATTGGTATCAAAGGAACTAGATTCTGTTCCGAAATATCACTTACTCGAACCGCCCTGACCGCGTAGCTCAGTTGGCAGAGCGTTGGGCTAGTATTCCAGAGGTCGTAGGTTTGATACCCACCGTGGCCGGGCATATTTTCCAAGCTCGCCCGGTGTGGATACACATTCAGAGTAACATCACAAACATCATATTCACCTGAGTCCACAACACCAGCACAGAAAAAAATGTTCTTAATATTTCCCCAACGCTATCGACGTATCGTGTGTTTATAATTAACATGTTATACGTGCTGGAACACATCAAAACCTTAATCTCCAAGCCAACGGAGCGTAAGCCCGGGGCGAGGGTACTAATTCCGCCCGGCTATTTACGCCCTGGAAAACGAAAGCATTAGCGAAGTCAGAAGTTCATCAATGATCGCGGGCGTGGGTAGTCATCCTCACTGATCTCAAAAATATGACTGACTGTCAAATTTAAAATTTGTACTAGAAATACATGCATGCAATAACCCCTCGCCTGTTTTCCAAAGATGTATACTCAGTGCCGTTGCGAGCACTTCGTCTCAGGGTGTGTGTGAGGTTAGATAGAAGGGGGGGGGGGGTTACCAAAATGTTTCCAGATGCACAAAAAATTTTCAGGACATATAATAATTTTTCCGAAAATACAGTTATTTTGCAAATTCACTTTCTCATGTCCTGAGAATTACCTGAATTCCCCTGAAAATCTTCCGCAAATCTACTTAAATTTACCTAAAAGTGCACTGGAAATCTACCTGGAAATGGCTCAAATTCCTCATGAGCAATTATCAGGGGTGTTGCCCCCCCCCACAGTGAGTTTCAAGTAAACAATCTCTGAATTATTGTTCATGTATTTCACCTCCCAAAATATTGTGCATCATACTCTAAAGCATTTTGCTGTTGTCATGCTCTAGCGGGGTTCAAATTTATGAATTTTTATTATAATGTATAGTGTTTTATAGAGATTTCGAGCACTGATAAAAACGATAATCTCACAGTCACATGTGAAATTATTCATGATAATCTCACATGTGAAAATTATCGCTTTTCAATTATCGCTTTTCTGTAAAAATTATCGCTTTTCAAAGACTGTCCTTTATATAATAAACAGAAAAATACATGGGTGGTTGGAAATACCAGATTTATTTTTCGTGTTGAACATGACATCTCACTCGTTCGCTGCCTTCACTTGTGAGATATCATGTTCAACACTCGAAATAAAGCTGGTATTTCCGCGCACCCATGTACTATTCTCAGATATTGAAACTACAACTTGACTGGTTTAAATTATTATCAAGTTAGCAGTGATTGTAAAAGTTGCAGATAGAAGTGTTTTGTTTTATATTATTATCAAGTTATCAGTGATCGCAAAACCTCCAAATCCTTAATTTCAAAAGCCCCGCCGTGGGCTAATGCACTTATGATCGGCTTCCCCGGGGGTCGACCCCCGAACCACCCAGGGACTTTTGTTAAGAGGATGGAACAAAACATTAACAAAGCCCCTGGGTACAGTTGAAAGAGTTTATTTGCGCATGCGCTGAATTATAAATAATTAGGGTAAGATGAAGTTTATACTATTCGAACTCAATGATTCTTAGATACGAGTAATGTCCATGCAATACAGTCATCGATATCTGATGTTTGATGGTGAAGATGGTGTATGATGGTCGAAGTGTCTCAGATGGTGTATGATGGTGTAAGCTGGTTGTACAGGGAAGGGTTGTCAGATGGTGTATGATGGTGTATGATGGTCATGCAAAGTGTGTCAGATGGTTGTCAGATGGTGTATGATGAAGTAGGGTGATTATACAGGGAAGGGTTGTCAGATGAAGATTGTGTATGATGGTCGAAGTGTGTCAGATGGTTGTCAGATAGTTGTCAGATGGTGTGTGATGGTCGAAGGTCATTCGGTGTAGGATGCTTATACTACGTTGCTATATTTTATTATTACTTACATATACTGTGGCCAACTATGTATATAAAAATATAATATTATATCTCACATTACGGTTCTCATGTGGGAAACGTAATTCAAACTATTTGACAGAATATATTTAAACACATTTGACAGACATGTTCGAGGTAATAAATAACAATATAATATATATGAAAATATTATATCTCACATTACGGTTCTCATGTGGGAAACGTAATTCAAAGTATTTAGATACATATATTTAAATGCATTTGACAGACATGTTCGAGGTAATAAATAAAAATATAATATAAATATACTTCACCACCTGACAACCGATGGTTATATCTATATTGGACATATATGTTAGATACTGCTGACCATATGTGAAACAAAATCCCGCGGGTTTATCTCGGGGGTTAACAGTGCCTGTTACCAAACCCAAACAATTCCCGTTCCCCGAGGGACACTATTTTTTACAAAAGACAACGAATCCCCTCCTGTTCCTGGGGGTTCCCCCTGGGGTGTCCCAGGGGTCGACCCCGGGCAAGCCGATGATAAGTGCATAAGGTTCGAGTGGAAATGCCCAACTCCCGGGATGTGCTTTACATGAAAATGGCTGGGCGAGGGGGATGGGCACACTTGGATTTGGCTGATGCATTAAAAGTCATGGAAAAAGAAAAAAAAAATCATATTGCTACTATAAAATGGCTTATTTTGCTTATTCCTGTGCTTATTCCAGACTGCTTGTCAAATATTTACTTGAAAGAAGTAGAGACTTACTCTGACCACTGGATGAAGAAGACATTAAATAAGTACTGGTCAATAAACAGAAATGTATTTTATTTCATACTATTAAAATTTTATTTTTATGCTATAAAAATAAAATATAAACATGCAGCCTCTGACATGCAGCATAGAATATGCAAATTCGAGGCAAAATTATTGTTGAATAGGTTTATTTATAGGATTTTATAACAAATAGAAACTATAAAAGTTTATACCTTGTCTTCACATCGCTTTATTCTGTTAGCCAATGCTTTCAAATTTACATATTTTAGAATCAGTTCCTTTCCTGGTAACTGCATTTCTAAATGAAATCATCGTGAGTAGTGAGTGCTGAGCAGGCCGTTTTACTATAAACAAATTTTGGGAATTGATAACAACTTTCATGAAAAATATATCGTTGCACATTCGGTCACAGTCGGAAAAATGTTCATAGTATGTTGTACCGTCGCTTGAAACTAACGATGAACAGTCACTCATAAAAACATTCGCGTGATTAGAACCTCCAATGTTTGTCAAGAACAACAACACTTAATTGTTGTTTCCCATGTGTACAATAATAAGTAAAAAAAACTTTGTGTGGTCTGAATGTTACCTCGTGCCATACAGGCTACTTTTTGCCAGTTAGGATTACCAATGCATGCACAATAGTTGCTCCAAAACTTTATTTATTATAGTTATACAAACTTTGATTGGTTATATATCAATATATTGGTAATATATTGATTATATATCACACTTAATATTTCTATCTTGATCTGACTTCGTCGTTGATGTTACCTCTTCAAGAGCATAAACTTAACTCTCTAACATGTGTTCTCAACACAGTCTATATCATGCACTATTATTTATTAACTGTAGTAAACGTCCTTCCTGTCCAACGTTTACTCTGGCTATTACGTCAATGGATTTGGCTCATAAACTAAACTAAACTTAATTAAATCAATACATTGACACATTCTAACACATTCCCCCTCCAGAATTAGTGTCGTCCCATGACACTCGTTGTTATTCTTTGGGAATGTAAGGTACCGCGTGGTACGTTGTTGAGGAGTTCTCTCCATAAAACTATCACTCTAAATTACTTACAAAACATATATTGGTAAGTACCATACAACAGGATCCTATTATTACGATTATCCAGTTTAACCTTTTGCTGCAGCTTCTGTTAACTGGCATAAACTCTTAACTTTATATACGTGATAGCTTTCAAAGATACGCTAAATATAGTTTTAATATTGAAGTTATGGAGCGTTTGTTTCTTCATTGTAACGGTAGAAAATAATTAAAAATGTTATACTGTATAACTGTTCAGTATATTGGGTACGGCATCACTTGCATTGGGCGTCCATGAAACGGAGGGACTTGGTTAGGGATAGTATATATTAGGTTGAATAGATGAGTTCCGGGGAAAGGTGGGGGGTAAGGAAAATGATTTTGGGATGCAAGGCAGGGAAATGGAGGGTTTAGGAACCAGTTGGATTGGTTGGGTTGCTGAAGGGGTTGCCATACATTGGGTGAAACTGTAGCTGAAATGGGGAATATTCTAAACGGGTCTGTCTCACCAGGGTTGTAGCAGGTTAGCCAATCAGGTGGGTGCCGTACTCGCTGTGGTCTCGGATTTTCAACTACAGGTATGGTGGGGGTTAGGTTATCCTGATCACCGCTGAGGTCTAATATTTCTTCGGTCTCGGTAGGGGGTTGCAATTCAAGGGTCTCTAAATTGTCGTCCACAGCCAGGTTGTCACTTTGATCAGGAACTGCCTCGTCTGTTTGTAGCGGGTTTCGGAATTGGGCAGAAAGCGTTTCTCGACGTAGGGAGACCATTACCACGTCAGAGAATTCTTCGTCGCTGGAGGTTTCCTCATCCTGCGCTGTAAAGTTTCTGGATGGTTGTCTGTTTTGGTGTCGTAGGGTTGCTGGGGGTGGTTTTGGTGTAGGTGGTTGTGGGTTTTCCGCGGGTAAATGATCACAAGGGAGAAGTAAATTTCGGTGTAGAACCCTATTCTTTCCCTTACCGTTCTCACGCTTCGTTTCGTACACTGGGCTCTCCGGGCCCTTCCGATTTACCACTACGTAGATGTCATTCCCCCAAAATGACCTCAGCTTGCCAGGACCACCACGTTCGGTAAGATTACGCACCAACACACGATCTCCTGGTTCTAGTACAGAACTGCGAACCCATCGATCATATGAGCGTTTCGCTTTGATACCTTTCTCCTTTATCTTGTCCTGAGCCATGCCATTGCAGCTCTCCAATGTTTTACATACTGGGGGTATTCCTGTTTTGTTTATGGTGTTTGGGTTTGGAAAATGAGGTCAATAGGTAAGCGGGGTGTCGCCCAAAGAGTAAATAAAAGGGGGAGAATCCAGTAGTGTCATTGTGAGTACAGTTGTATGCATGCACCACTTTGCTAACGTGATCTTTCCAACGTGATTTCTCGTTCTCGGGAAGGGTTCGAAGCATATCTAGGAGTGTTCTGTTAAACCGTTCTACCTGTCCGTTTCCTTGAGGGTGATAAGGTGTGGTACGACAATGACCAATGCCGCAAAATTCTTCCAGGGTTTTGAGCAGTTTGTTCTCGAATTCTCCACCTTGATCATGATGGATTTTGGCTGGAAATCCAAACCGAAGGATGTAGTCGTTGTACAACTTTTCAGTCACAGTCTTTGCCGCTTTGTTTCCGGTCGGGTAGGCTTGTGTATACCTGGTGAAGTGATCAATAATCACAAGGATATACTCGTACCCTCCACTGGACTTTTCAAGGTGGATGAAATCGATAGAAACCAACTCGAAGGGGGCGGTAGTGATAGGCTCAGATTCCAGCCGTTGTGTTCTCGCCACTCGCCCACTTAACGGCTGGGTCAATGGTTAATATTTCTTGTCTGTGACGTCAAGGTTAATATTTAAATTTATGCATATGTTTTGGATAATTATGTATTTCTGTGCAATGTAAAATGGCGGCTATCAGGAGCGAACAATTTTGTTTCGAAAAGGAAATAGCAAATTTTAACAACTTTGTGCATTCATCGATAACTTTTTTGTAAAGGAAAACAAAATGGAAACTTTTAAGTTCATTTGACAAAATGTTATTAAGTTCTAGTATAAAGTTTGTTCGTTCACTGCAACCAGGTATATCAATCATGTTTCGCTCGCTACTCTGGTTTAAATAAATGATTACAAAGCCCAGTCGAATTGTAATCAAGACCCAACGTTTCGACACTCCAGTCTAGTGTCTTCATCAGGGGTGATCTAAAACTGCGATCGTGTCTTCCCAAATACCCAAGGGATGACGTCACCTGCCAAGAAGATGCATATATTCTTCTGGCAAATAGGCGCCGTCATCCCTATTCAAAGCATGATGACTCATATTTATATGCCACGCTTCTAGGCAAAGTCTTTGACCATAGCGATTGTTTGTGGTAATTACTTTAGAGTTTTCCCACGCAATCTCGTGTTTGGTGTAACATACATGTTCGGCTAAAGCTGATTTTCCCTTGTCTAAAGTTGAAACAGCCTTTTGATGTTCTTTTAGCCGTGTACCAAACTGGCGTTTAGACTGACCCAAATACTCTTTATCGCAGTCACCGCATGGTATAGCATATATAGCATGAGTCTTCTGATTTTTTTCAACAGGATCTTTTGGCTTTGCGAAAATATGGCCTAAGGTCAAATAGGGTTTTAAGGCAACCTTAATATTACAATTACTTAAGATTCTCTTGATTGGTTCGGTGACACCTTGAATGTATGGAACTATTGCAAAACCCTTAACAGAGGTATCACCCACGGAGTTATTTTGGTTCTTACAAACAGGTGGTCTCAGGCAATCATTAAGAAAACGCTTTGGGTAATTGTTTTCCCCTAAAACATTTAGAACATATTCACGTTCATTAGCTTGAGAATCACTGTTTGACGGCAACGATTCAGCTCTTTGAAGCAAAGTTTTTGCTACGGATCTTTTATGGCTTACTGGAAGAAAGGAACTGCAATGTACACGAGTCAATGAATATATTATGTATCTAAATAGTAAAACAATAAACCCTACCAACAAAAGCAGGTGAATCTGAATAATTAACGTCTTATTTCAAACAAATAGTTTTTCAATGATTATTTTTTGAAGAGGAACATAAATTGAATGTTAATACTTGAGTTGTTTATAGACTATAGTTATACGTATTAATGCAATTTTACGCCTTGTGATTAATATCTAAAAATTTTCCGTATGATCGATTTTGTTCGAGGGATAGAGATTAAGGAACTAAGTCTTTTATAGACCAAACAATAGTCTGTCAAGATATGTTCACTACGATGGTCTGGAAGCCTGCAAACTTCAAATACAAAATAGAAGACCTAGTGTTTGATGTTGAACTGTACCTTACTGTGCACCTTCATAGATTTGGTTAAACAGTCTTTTGATGTAGCAAGAATATTTGAAATTTAAAATGTTCTTGTCTTTATTTCGGTGTTGTATACGTTGTCTGTACAATTGGAGGCCGGGTGTGCTCATCGATCCATATATGGTTCAGTGTACGACTGTTGACCAAGTCCGTAATCATTGTAGCTACACACAGCAGTGAGGGGTATTATTGTGGTAATGGTGACAGGATATTGCATTTCCAAATTGAAAAAAAATATTTGATGAAATACCCCCCCCCACCTTACACCCCCTTTGCCAAAGTAAAGGGGGGCGGGGTGCATCCCCATGGCAGTAAATACATCCAGGGATGGATCCAGCATGATCTGGTAGGGGGTGCTCTGCCAGCTCTGGTGCCGAGTTGTGTCGGTCATGTGTGCCACCCGCCTATCAACTTGCTTCACTACTGCAAAGTCCTGCTTGACTACTAGCTGTATTTAAATTGTCCTTGTTGTTCACATTTCACTTATCATCATGTTATTACTCAAATTACTGTATGTCATTTTGTTTCTAATAATTTTTTGTTTTATCATGAAAAATAGCACCCGCTGCACCCCCTGGCCAGGGCTAGGGAGGGGGAGTTGCACCCCCCCCCAGTAAATCCATCCCTGAATACATCTCTGCAGGAATGCAAGAAGAATTTGGCTTCTTTTCCCCCATGAAAACTTAATCCCCCATGCCAGGATAATTTTGGTGTTTAACATTTTGGTATTTTCTAACTAAAGTGTTACTGCAACAAATTTTCTGAACCCTTGTTTATTAGCTTAAATAAATATTCAATCTTTCAGAACTAGCAATTTATCATGCTTTGTCATTCACAGTCTGGCTTTCATATGAACAGCCGTTAAAAACACACATTGACATGACAACTATCCTTTTCTTAATACCATACTGACAAGGTTTCCAAAACTCAGCCTGAGGGCTGAAAGCAAACATATTTGAGCTTGTTGAACAGACTAAATGCATAATTCACTGTCTGAATTTATAAAACATTGCATACTTTTATTCCATAAATCCTCTACTTAGGCTATCCAACAAGTCCCATTCTTTGCCCCTTCACAACAAAGAAACACATGATACCAATTGGATTTATTCATTGCCCTTCAAATAACTATGTGCCCACATTTATTCAATTAGTATTCATGGTAAATTATATTGTCAATATATAAAATAATATTGAATTTATTGTGCTTGACTGTAATTAGCAATTAGCATATATGAGCACACTAATATATCAGTTTCAGTTCACAAATTACCTGCCCAGTCTAAAAAATATTGTCAAATGGCACAAACTAGCTTGTGGGAGATCTAACCAAGCCCATTATTACCTAGCCATGGGCTCCATGAAAGGGCCTGTTTATAAAATCCCGGCTAGGCAGGATGAGGCAGTTTCCAAGATCCTGACTATCATATTAACTCGTATTCAAAAATGCATGTATATATTTGATGAACTCACTCACAAACATGTACAAACATGACATCCTAGCTGCCTGGCAAGGTTTCCCACTTTCCCACCAGACAGGATCATATAAACATGTCTTAATATTAATTAAAATAAGCCTTTTAAATACTGCAATATCCTACATACTAATATACTATATTTCACAAGACTTTGCAAAATAACATTTTCTACTTTCCTGGCAATATGCCAGACCAGCCCAATAATAAACACATCCAGGTTTTACTGTAAATATAATTATAAATGTCCAACTGAATCAGCAGAAACAGGGAGGGTTTCACCTAGCTAACTAAGCTAAAAAAAAGAAAGGTTATTAATTTTGCTAAGCCACACGCAAAATATTCTTTGCCCTTTCATGATCAAGAATCCTCAATGAGATATATTATTTATAAACACAATATAAAAATATGCAACGGTTCGAAAACATTCCAGCGACTATTATTCGTAGAGAGACTTCGGTTCGTGTCGTAAAAATCGTCGGAATTACTCTTCCCCAAAAAATGTCGCTTTAACCCATGTAGTTCACTTATAAATATCGTTGAACAGATCTTTTTAAGTGCACATATTTGCACAACGCCGTCCTCGAACGCTTCAGCAATGCGCTTTTAGCCATATTTAATTTATTACCTTTGTGTTAAATTTATGCATTACTAATACCAATTTGTGCCCCCCAAACTTTGGGGGCTGTAATGTGATTGGTCAATCAGAACAATGCCGAAGCTCATTGACCCAGCTGTTAAGTGGGTGAGTGGCGAGAACACAACGGCTGGAATCTGAGCCTAGTTGTAATGGTGCTCTTGTCTTTATCAATAAACAGCTTGGTTTACTGAGTGGACCAGTGTTCGCTCTACATGATAATTTCACAGATTGTCCTGGCGGTATCATGACGTCTTTCTTACGGGTTTTAACAGGACACAATTCATTATGGTTAACAATGTTTATCAGTTCAACCAGGGCGGAAGCATGAGCGACTTGCATACCAACAAAGTTAGATGAAATAACACCACAATTCAATTTATTTGTCTTTATTAAATGTTCAATTACGTTAAAGCCGACCAAAGGCAGTTCTAAGTTCTCATTCGTTACTAGGAATGGGACAGGAATTGCGTATTCAGATTCCCCAACTTGAAAATTTAACTCCACCCATCCTGTATAAGGGATAGTGTTACCATTGGCTGCCGTCAGTGTAAGGTCACAATTTAACTAGTTCACTCACGTCTTTAAGGCCGGATTCCACGAGGCGGAATTTTTCGACCGAAACGAAATTTCTCTTTGTCTTTTTACAATTAGTTCTGCTCGAGAGCTCTGAAACAAAGAGAAATTTCGATTCGCTCGAAAAATTTCGCCTAGTGGAAAACCGCCTTTAATAGTACAGTTTGGAAAATTCTCTTTTAAAAACTTGGCTGAAACAATAGATACTTGGGCTCCTGTGTCCCATAAAACTTCTACTGTTTTCCCATTAATTTTTCCCGTAACGGTACATCTTTGACCTACGAGACTAATCAACTTTTCATTTTCCTTTGGAGTGAGGTGGCTCATGAAAACCTCAGAGTGGTTATCTTGTAACACTTGAGTCGTACGCTTAACTTCCCTTTTAATGGCATTACACAATGTTTTATGATAAGGCCAATTAGCTTTCTGACATGTCTGGTTACAATAGCTTACCAATTTACAACATTTGCATCGCCAAAAGTTTTTATTCAAGTTCTTTAAACAATAATTACACTGACGGGATGTTGACTTTCCGGCTAGACCCTGTCCCGACGGCGGGGTTGCCGGTACTCGTTTCCCTGAGCCTTTAAATGTTTCGCGCACTCTGACGCAATATGGCCAAACTCGCCAGAGGCAAAACAATGTTGACACGTGCGGCCAATCAGTTTCCGTTCTTTACACGCTAGACACCCTCTACCACGGTATCGTGTTTCCCTGGGGAATTTCCGACCGCCTGACGATACTTCCCGATTAGAATTAGCGTTGTTGCCTTGTTTTTTCAAACTCTCAAGGTCAGATTTGATCTCTCGAATCTCGGCCAAAATTTTATCATTATCTCCACCATTTTTACGCATTTTAATTTTCGCACCGTCCACTTCGCACCATTAACCTTGGCAGAACGCCTTTCACATGCAAGTTTACTCTGCCTCTCAGCTTGGTGAGATGCCAATTCGTTGACATTTTTCATTAATTCCTCGTCAGATAGACTAGGTAACCGCAAAATGGGACGTAAATTTGCCGCCAAAATATCGTCTCGTAACCCTGTCTCGAAAGACTTCATGAATGTTTTCTGAATAAGTGGTTCATCATATTGAACTTCACAATCAGACTCTTTACTTGCAAAGCCTACTTTATTTCTCAACTCAAGGGAACGTAGGAGAAACTGTTGAGGTGTTTCTTTTGGGTCCTGGAATATTGTCGCAAGGGTTTGATAGAGTTCTGACGCGGATTTTTCACGGTAGTGAACGCGTAAAATTTTTCGCAACTTTGGTAGGGACAAATCTTTCAGAGTTTCGACATAGCTTCTTAAACTGCTATGCAATGAAATCGCGCGAATAACAGCATCTACAATCTCATTTTCGTTATACCCACGTTTTAGGCCTGAATCAATTTGATGAGTCAGCGAAACGAAAGTCAGTTTGTCTGCCTGACCGGGTTCTCCAATTTGCCCAGAAATTTTGAACTCGCGACGCAGAAATGAAGCATTCACAGAGTCATCGGGTTTCATGCATCCTTTTGTTGTATTTTTAATACCAGTTGTGACATTTGTGGTTTCCGCGTTTTTTGAACTGGTCTGAACTTCGGCCAATTTTGTCAACAAATCACTCGTTTCAGATTGTTGTTTTTCCTTTAAAGTTTCAATTTCAGTTTACAACATTTGAATTCTGTTAACCAGCATTTGAACTTTCGTTTAGCCTAGTAACTTATTTCAATAAATCAAAATCACTCTGCGTTTCAACATGTAAACAGCCCCTAATGAAAACGCCTGTTCAGGAGGAAGGAAAGTGCAATTTGAATATGATCAAACATTTTGTACAAAGTCGAAGGTAATGCTGGTAAATATTTTAATTCTACTTTCTTGGCATGGGCGGTTTTATATGAATACCTTCAATGCTTATAACTTCTTGCCTTTGTATGTATATTTATCATGCTGTCAGTGGTGAAGTTAGCCATAGCACTGAACAAGTCATGCAATACAAGTTTATAATGATTTGCAGGGGCGTAGGAACTGGGGGGGGGGGGGTAAGCCCCCCAAGTTTTGCCAAGTGCCCTTTTTCCGGGAGCAAAGTGCCCTTTTTTGCGTGAAAAATGTCATCAAGATTGCATTTTTTGCCCAAAGAGCACTTTGAAAACTTGAAGCTATGTTATTTCCGGAAAATGTTTTTCATTTCCGGGAAAATATCATATATCCGGAAAATTTTTTTGTATATCCGGAAAAAGTTTTATATTTAGGAAAAAATGTGTATATCCGGAAAATTTTTTTGTATGTCCGGAAAATTTTTTTGAAATGAACTCCACCCCCCGACGCCAACATTTCCGGGAAAAAAATTTAGATGCCTTTATTATTCGAAAAGTGCCCCTCAAAGCCTGACCCCCACCAACTATTAGAAGCTTTCTACGCCCCTGATGATTTGCATTGTTCAAATAGACTCAGGTTTATTAGCATGACACGACCTGCAGAAGGAACTGGAAACGTCTCGTGTGGAAAACGATGATTTTGATCCAGAAGAAGCGTTAGAAGCAGCTGTTGATATGAGAAAGTTTCTTATAAAAAGGCCTTTAAAGGGTCACAAATTTGATGAGGAGAATGATGATGATGATGAAGAGAATGATGATTAGACTCGATTAATAGGATTGAACGAAAATGTATAACGCGTTCCAAACTATTTTCAATAATTCCAAACTATTTTTTTTTTCTGCAAAAATTTAAAAAAATAACAAAAAGTGCGAAGATTTCATTTTAGCAAATCGAAATACTATTTTTTGGCAGAGACTCTGCAAAAAAACAACATTTTTGTCTAAACGAGACACCATTCTGAAATCATTAATGCTAAAGTGAAAATTTGCAGTATTCATATGCTTACATGACTTAAACTGGATTCAGATTATCACTCATATATATAAATAGACCAACCATTGTCAGATATAAATATAAATTCGGTGTCTGAATTTCAGACACCGAAAACGGTATGAGTTTGTCAAAATCATATATAAATACCAACCATGCAGACTGAGATAAATTTGGGTGTCTGAATTTCAGACACCGAAAACGGTTTGAGTTTGTCAAAATCATATATAGATACCAACCATGCAGACTGAGTTAAATTTGGATGTCTGAATTTCAGACACCGAAAACGGTTTGAGTTTGTCAAAATCATATATAAATACCAACCATGCAACTGAGATAAATTTGGGTGTCTGAATTTCAGACACCGAAAATGGTTTGAGTCCGTCAAAATGATATATAAATACCAACCATGCAGACTGAGATAAATTTAGGTGTCTGAATTTCAGACACCGAAAACGGTTTGAGTTTGTCAAAATCATATATATAAATACCAATCAACCAGACTGAGATAAATTCGTTGTCTGAATTTCAGACCGAAAACGGTTTGAGTTTGTCAAAATCATATATAAATACCAACCATGCAGACTGAGATAAATTCGGTGTCTGAATTTCAGACACCGAAAACGGTTTGAGTTTGGTCAAAATCGTATATAAATACCAACCATACAGACTCACTGAGACAAATTCGGTGTCTGAATTTCAGACACCGAAAACGGTTTGAGTTTGCCAAAACAATCATATATAATACCACCTAGAGATAGGTACAGTGTAGCTGAATTTCAGACACCGAAGTCGGTTTGAGCTTGTCAAAATATATTTTGAGATATATTTTAGGTAGGCTACTAGCTGAATTTCAGACAGCGAAACCAACCAGATAAATTAGCTATAGCAGAATTGCACACAGCGAAATCGGTTCGAGTTTGTCAAAATTTTAATATAATATTAACCAAACACTATATTCTGTATAATATTCAGACATGCAATATAAGTGTCGTGTCTGGCCTTTCCTGCTTTGCCATCTTTAAGATCGCTTATCTTGCAAAGGAAAATAGAAAACATTTTGTGAAATAGCTATAAGCGGCAAGGTTGTCGTTTGTTCATATATCTTCACAGCATGAGTGTAGTTGAATATTCACACTAAATATTTCTGACTAGCCATGCATGTACAGTGGCTATAACAATAATGAACTAGAAAAAATATGAATAAGGTGTCGACGCGTTGAAAATAAACTTAACCCAGAGATAATTTACTATAGTTAAATGAAGTGTAATGCATTTGAAGGTCTTGAAGAGCCTATATATATACACACTCCACAACGTAGTACGTACGAATGAAAATTGATATAAATTTAAATCAGTACAATTCAAGTTTTAAGAGACAACGCTCCTGTATGATTCAGTCAGAGTTTTGTTGGTAGTCAAGATCTATTAAAGAAATAATGGAGCTAATAATAAGCTGGTATACATTGTAAATAAGTAAATAAGTGCGGTACACTGGTAATAATTAATATCAGTGCAAACCGCAAATGATCTGCAGTTGTCAGTTACGTAATGGTTTAGCGAATTGCGCGCATTAATATATTCGCAACATATGCATGAATATAAAATTACAATTTCATAATTCTCACAATACACAATTTATGATAAATAGAACTATGATTTACCTGGTGGCACGCTTCATCTTACTGGCGAATCTCAATTCATATCCCATAGCTCTCTGTCTGATTTAGTCTTTCTCTTGTATCGACAACATAAATTTGCAAAATACAGTAGTATAACGACCAGTCTGGCCATACTTTGAAATTTGAACTCACCGCGTTGAAACAACTCAGAGGAGGTTGTCGTCAAACATATGTTCTGTTGTCAATGGTTACTTCCTGATTGGTTGAGCTTGATTCATAATCTTAATTTGAATTCTGAGTTTCCATGCGTGTGTGTCCATATTCCAAAGTCTAGTCCGGCAGAATATAAACAGAACTGGTAATGGAAATCGATTCAACCATTATATCGATGGCACACAACGGTCATAACGATATAGTGAAGAACTTACGGTTAATAAATGAATGCAGTGTGGCTCATAGTCAGTCTGAATTCGCTTTCACAAAGATTTATGCATGAAAAATTTGAAAATGGATACAAATTTGGACTTGGTAGGCACTAGACTGCGTTTATAATGTCAATGCAGGTAACTTATTTTACTATTTATCAATATTCTAAGGGCATTAAAAATTATATATAGGCAATATATTGAACAACGCGTCGACACTTCACTCGCGTAAAAGCTGTTTTATTACGTTTATTGATTTAATGTCTTTAATTATAGCTCGTTGACGACGGCATCTAATTTAGCGGGGAAAGATTGCAAGTATTCGCGTCAGGTAGCCATACTCCAAGATGACAAGCTGAAAGGCAAACCCATAGATAAAGATTCAATCGATTCATGAAGAGAACAAATCTGTGAAATCACACCGCATATAGTTTATATCATGCAGATATGTATGTATTATAGATATACCTGCCAACAATGCCGCACGTTTACTGGGTAAAGCCTGCAGCACACAAGAGCTATCTGCTGAACGAAAAGTTACTCGTGCCTGTTAGCTCAGTCGATAGCTCACCGTGTGCGGGTACATTTTACTGAGTTTTTTGCCTCATGCAACCTTTTCTCACGTATCAAACATGTTTGATCGGTGAGCGATCAGCTGAGCTAATAGGCACGAGTACTGAACTTTTGGCTCGGCAGATAGCTCTCGTGTACTGCAGGCTTTACCCAGTAAACGTGCGGCATTATTTGCAGGTATATCTATAATACATACATATCTGATATAAACTATATGCGGTATGACAGTTCGATTTCACTGATTTGTTTTCTTCATGAATCGATTGAATCTTTCTCTATGGGTTTGCCTTTCAGTTTGTCATCTTGGAGTATGGCTACCTGACGCGAATACTTGCAATCTTTCCCCGCTAAATTAGATGCCGTCGTCAACGAGCTATAATTAAAGACATTAAATCAATAAACGTAATAAAACAGCTTTTACACGAGTAAAGTGTCGACGCGTTGTTCAATATATTGCCCATATATAATCTTAGTCTTAGTTTCAAAGAAAGGTAACTAGGCACGATATGAATATTATTAACGATGCTCGTGAAAGCTCTATGCATACACGGCACATGCGAATGCGAAATATAATATTATCGGTGCAAACCAGGCTAACAAAGCCAATTTTTTATACTCATTGGCATCATGGGAGGGAGGATGATGACATCGATCGATATCAACTGAATGGCCGCAATGTACCATACCTCTAAAATCACTCTCGATAGTCGGTACAAAGTAAACAAATTCGGTTTTAATGCCCTTAGAATATTGATAAATAGTAAAATAAGTTACCTGCATTGGCATTATAAACGCAGTCTAGTGACTAGCGTCTACCAAGTCCAAATTTATATCCATTTTCAAATTTTTCATGCATAAATCTTTGTGAAAGCGAATTCAGACTGACTATAAGCCACACTGTATTAATTTATTAACCTTAAGTTCTTCGCTATGTCGTTATGACCGTTGTGTGCCATCGATATAATGGTTGAATCGATTTCCATTACCATCCAGTTCTGTTTATATTCTGCCGGACAAGACTTTGGAATATGAACACACACGCATGGAAACTCAGAATTCCAAATAAGATTATGAATCAGCTCAACCAATCAGGAAGTAACAATTGACAACAGAACATATGTTTGACGACAACCTCCT